CATTAGACCAGCCCCTGGCCAGGTATCAGACACACCTCAGGTGTGCAGTTACCTTCTCAAACCATTCCTTCAGAATGTTTGAACATTTCTCCCCATCAAAGTTTTCCACTCTACACTTGAGCAAAACAAAAGTGTGAATTTCAGCTAATCAATGCACAGCTACTCTTGGAAGAGGATGAGATTTAATGGCAGAGAGTACACTCTACACGTGGCTCTAAACAAGCACTGGCCTCTTCTTCAAGGCAGTCCTTTTGATGTCTGCCCATGGATAACTGAAGCTAGCCTGTACCAAAAAAATAAGGATGCCTGCATGACTTTTGATGGCTACTTTTATGGCATCAGGTTTTAAAAGTTGCCTTCTTTAGAAATTGAAAACAGTTTCCCTAAAAACAAGCAAAATTAATAGAGACATAAACATTTCTGATTCCAGGTAAATGAAGGTAAATTAAGCTGCTTTTTAAGCTAAAAGACTGCCTGCCTTTTGCACCACACAACCCTACATCAGCATCACCTCCACCAGGGCAGAGAAGCCAACATTTGAGCACTGATGCCAAAAAGCCACAAGCCACGGCCACCCCTTGAGTGAAGCTCAGGGACCCTCTGGCCTGGGAAACACCTGGGGAGATGGAGCAAGGAGAAGTGTCAGAGCTTCTGGGCTGGGGGCTCAGCCCATGGCAGATCTTTTGGGATGCTTTTTGCAATAAAATCAGTGACAGCTGGAGCCAGAGTTGGCGCCTTGAGCTGCTAGTGAATCAGCTTTTTAAAAATGTTTTTAAAAGTCCTAATTTTATGAACATCTATACATATACATTTAAAATAGCTTCCAAAAATAATAAACACCCTGGATAATCATTTCTGATCAGCACTTCTGTAACTTTCTTAACTCCCTGAGTCTGCAAAACAGGGCTGAAAAGGGAGTTTGCCCATGAAAACTCTGAAACTCTCCACTTTTGATCGCAGTGGAAATAATCTAAAGTAGGTTTTTCAAGGAGAAATACATCGTTACTTCTTCTGGGTGTCAAAAGGCCACAAGCTAATGAAAAAGAATGAAAAGGATACCATTAATATCTACTGTCTCTGCAACACTTTTCATCCCAGGATCTCAAAGCAAGGGGTGACGGATGGCCACTATTAACCCCACTTTGCAGGGAAAATAACAAAGTCTTAGCAAGGTTAAGTAACTTGCCCAAAGCTATGCACCAAGGCAGTAGCAAAACACAGGAAAAAATAAAGCCCTGCACTCATGGGTGGGTTTGTGAAGAGTTTGTCCAAGCTCCTTGCAAAGCAAGACTGCCAGGGAGTCCAGCCTGCAGTTTGGGGAGCTCAGAACACGTCTCAGGCAACTGCTCCAGACCTGGGCATCTTCACTGGCTCCAGGCAAGTTAAACAAATGCTACCCTCACTACTGTTAACTTCATTTATCTGCCTGTCCTTAGCAATGGAGGAGTGACTTTTTATGGGGAACAGGTTGCTGAAGCCAAAGCAGAAGTGGTAAATCCTGTAGGCTCCGTGGTTTCTGTCCATAAAATTTTCCTTTGGTTTCTGACCCATGCCCCCCACATTTGGGACTAAATACATTATGGTTTTAACTGGGTTTTAACTGGTTTTCATGGTGAAATGCTCTTGGTGCAATGGAGGTTGCATCGTTTCCTTCTGCAGAGGCTCAGGAGGGAAGGGCCGATGCTCTGGGGAGGGAGCCCTGCAGGCTTGGAGCCCTCTTCCACTCCCTGTCAGAAGATCACTGGCCACATTTATTCCCCAGGATGGTGAACCCAATCCCTGGCCTGCTCCAGCCTCACAAACCTACAGAATCAGATTTTGAACCCATTTAATTCAGACTGCCTTGCCTGGTTTTCCTCGCTGGTTTCCTCCAGCATTTTCCACTGGCTGCTCCTCTAAAAACAGTTCCTTTCCATTCATGGTAATGCACTGAAGCAGTTGATTTTCAGCAAGGAATGTTGTCACCATTTTTCCACTAATAAAGAAGAAAAAAAAAAAACCAGCTTTCAATCAATCAGGGTCTATTTAACACATTAGCAATTTTCCTTCATTTTTCTGTCATCCTGCATTAACAGCCGTGAGGTCAAATCCAGCCTGGTGTAATTCCAAAGGAGTAACACCAGGAACAAGTTTTACCCATTATATCTAATGTTGCTAAAAAGGTCTCGATAATAGATTATTTTAAGTTCTTGATTCAGAATACTAATCAAGTCCTTTAGAAAGAGCACTTGAGTGGGATGCTACTACAACAAATATGCTCTGATATTTTTCACCACATCTTTCTGTCCTGTTGCTCATTTCTGTGTGAATACATGAGTTTTGGGAAGTCACTTTCTGCCGTGAGGTCTGTTCTGAAGCAGCACAAAGGTCAGACATCTAACACCTTCCATGCAGCCCAAAAACCAGTCCACAGGACATCCAGCCACATGCAGGTCCTAGCCAAGGGTTCTCCTTCATGGAGAAGTTTTCCCCAGCTCTCCAGAGGCCAGTCCTCAGCACAGTCCTCAGCACAGCTCACCAGCAGCCTCCTGTGACTGCACACCTGGAATTTCCAGCTCCGCAGCTTCTGGCCATCTCCACCTGATGTCCCACTGGGCATCAAGTCCCTCCATGGAGACACCACAGCACAGAAATGAAGTAAATGCAGTACTTTGTGGCACCTCTGCAGTTTGCCCCGCAGATGTGCTTTGCACTGCTCCGTGGTACCACAGCCAGTGCTCCACATGGGCTCTGCTACTGGCCCTGCCCCACCACTTCATCCTCTCCTTTCTACCACCAGTTTTTACTTCCCTCTGACCTAGCACCAGGTCCCTCCTTCCCTTCTGCTTTGGGCTGAGGGTACAGGAGAGCACCATGGTTGCCCAGGAGCCTGCCTGGCCAGGTGGCCCCAGCAGACAGTCCCTGTCATCACCCTGAGGGTAAATAGAGGGGCACCAAATGCCATGTTGAGCCAGGAAGGAATCGAACCACTCTTGAGTGTGCTGGTGATTCAGCGTCTCACCAGAGTCCCCCAGGTGAGAGTCACCATCTGACTCAGAGCATAGGTGCAGTCACCCTTCCCCACAGGGCAGCCTGCACTGCTCCTCCCGACAGCCAGAGCACCCTGCAACATGAACCAAAACTCCCCCAGCCCCAGGAAATGTTTCCCCAGGGATTACCCTGGTGGCGAGTGCAAAACATGACCTCCAACCACAGCCACAGAGAATTAGCTCAGGAACACACATGGAGAATTATTCCTGATTTTCAGGGGGGAACTCTGAAAGTGCCTGAGCTTTGCCTCGTGTGGGCATCTAAATGTCACCACTGCTGGCAGCTGCTGCTGAAAACAACAGGGGTTAGAGCTCTGTTTCCAGAAAGCAGTGACTTCGGTGGAGCTTCAGGCCTCCCCAAGCGAGGCCAGCCATTTGTGGACATCTCAAATGAATGCTGCTCGGGCCCTGATGACATTCACATGGGCCAGGGGCTGCTTCACGGCTTTTCTCATATCCCTGTCTGTACATTAGTTCAGTCCAGCTCACTCTTTCCCCATTCTTTTCTACTGAAAAAGCTATTTCAAATCTGTGATAGCAACAGTGCTGTCTGGAAAAGACATAACCTGACCTCCAGAATCCTCAAAATAAACAGCATGAGTGAACACGCCACATACTGCTATTTTATCATCTGTATTCCCTCCTGGTTTGTAACAGCCAAAACTTCCCAGGAGGGAATTCCTCTTCCAAGCAAGGGCAGGCTTTTGCTCCACAAAACACCACTAAACTCTTGGATACCTCTTCAGTCAGAAGAGAAACATGAAGAGATGAGTCAGAGGAGCTCTTCCTCTGGGAGCTCAGACCCTGCTCCTTCCACCCTCTGAAGGGGTGCTCAGCAGGGTTAACACAGCAAGCGCCAGTCAGTTCAGATGCTCAGATACCAACAACAAATTAATTTGTTAATTACATTTACAGAAGATGCTCCCATAGCTGTTCGGGGCTTTGAGGGCTTTGAGAAATCTTTTCTCAAAGAAAAGTACTTAGTACCTAAACAAAATTTATTTGCTGGGAATTCTTACAGTCTGACAACACCCAGAACTGTGCTAACGCATCAGGGCATATTTTCAGGACACATTTTCCTGAAACCTGTTGCCTAGGGAAGAAACCTGCATGCTCAATTATATCCATGGCCTATGCCAGGCTAATAATCACTGGCCCCGTCCCTCCACGGGCAAACCTCATGTCCTCAAGCCCACAGCCAGCAGAGTCACACCACGGATGGCACCACACACCCCGTCCCCACCTCTGCAGGGGTGGCTGCTGCTGGGGAACAACCCAGGCTTCCCCAGCAGGGATGCCTCTGATTTACACCCAGCAGGACGCTGCCCTCTGCCCAGTCCCCCCGGCCCACGCGGCGAGGCTGGAGTGTCACTCCAAAGTGACTTGGCAGGAGCCACCAGCAGGCTCTGGGATGGGCTCCCTGTCCCCACCACGTCCAGCGCTGCCAGCCCCTTCCCCACGGCCACGTGCAGGCAGGAGCAGCAGTGGGAAGAGGGTTAAATCCCAGCGGTTCTCCAGCACAGCACAGCGAGGAAGCTCCGGAGACACACATGGCTCTCTTTCCCCAGCTAAAAGTTGCGAGTTACGGAGTTATGCTCTCACTTCCAAAACCTCACGGTTATGGTTTGGTGGGCAAAGAGGGTAGGCAGCGAAAGAAATTAACATTTCTTTTCAGCATCACCAGGCAGGAGCTCACTGCAAAGCACAAGCTAGTACATACATTGAACAGCAACCCTGTATTTTATTTCAGGTATGTTGGGTATTGCAGGGAAGACTACGAAAGGCTGTGTTATTCTGCAGGAGCAGTTTTCCTTGGGAAAGTATAGCCAGACACTTAATCCCAGGAATATTTATAGTTAGCATAACTCAAATGGTGTTGTGCATGCAGTTGGTTAGTCTAAAGTGGAGCGTCATGCAGCTTGCATTAATGCTGGCAAAGGCACTTTATGGAGAAACAGACTGTATGCTTACAATTATCCCAGCCCAATATGGAGTGTCTCTGACTAGCAGAGAGGAACTGATGCCTGCCATAAGGAAGCCCAGCACTGTTACAGAGGTGCCTAAGGCCAGCTGCAGCAACGCCAGCAGCAGCGGGAAACGGCAGCCACAACAAGTGTGGGATTCCTCCTCCTGGCCCGTTTTGGGATCCCCCTTGGCTTTCTTCTGCTTCTTCTTCTTCTTCATCGCGGACTCCTGCGTCGAGCCGGTGCTTTTCTCCCCTCCGGGTGCCTTCCCTGTCTGGCTCTGGGTATTTGGGGACGTGCTGTGCTGGGTTTTCTTCTCCTCCTTCCCCATGCCGGCGGATTTGGGGCTTTCACGTGTGTGTGCGCGCACGCCGAGGGGGCGAGAGCTTTCTGCCCCCCAAAGCTTCGCTTTGTGCCGGCTGACTTGTTCCTGGTATTTGAATCAAGGAGGCTGAACAAATATGGAAAACATTTGGAAGCAGATTGTCAGAGCTTCGAAATGCCACATATAGCCCGGAGAAGGGGGGGATGCAAGGGGGTAGCGAACTGCCAACAGTGCGGGCGCCGGCCGTGCGCGCACAGGGCCGGGCGTGCGCGCCCGCACGGCTCCACAGGTGCCAGCGCACCTCCGGGGCTGGGGACGGGCAAACAGCAGGGCAGGAACTCCGCAC